CGCTTTGTGCCGGCGGGGCTGGGCGGGGACCGGCCGCTCGGTATTGATCCCCGGGGAGATACTGTGGCCGGGCAGGAAGTGCTTCGGCCGTTCCCGGTGGCGCGGCGGAGAGGGATGTGTAACTTGCCGCAGCCGCGATTCCTTTCAGCGGTTCCCACGTGAGCGCCTCGGTGCTAATTTTTCGTCAAAAATCCCGAAGCTGAGCCCTTTGCAGTGGTGGTGCGGGAGGGTCCTCCCAGCTGTTGGCAGCCCGCAGTTGCGTCGCGATACACTCGCTGATGGGTCGGGATGGCTCAAAAGGAGGCGGCTCCACCGCAGCCCAGCGTCTGTGGCACTCACACCTCTGGCTCTGTCTTTCAGAAAATGGCAGTGAATGTGTATTCTACTTCAGTGACCAGCGATAACTTGAGCCGACATGACATGCTGGCGTGGATCAATGAGTCTCTGCAGCTGACGCTGACCAAGATTGAACAGCTGTGCTCAGGTACGGGGGTTCACCCCGAGGGCAGTTCCACACGGGATGTGCACCCTGGTTCTGTAGAGGTGCAGCTGCACCCTCTGTGCTGCCCTGCTATAGCTGTGCTCCTGGCTTCGTTCCTGGTGTGAACAGATTCGTGGTCAGTGTTATGATCCAGTTATGGTCAGAGTGTTATTGAAGTGGTTGTTAATAATGTCAGTGTAATGAAAAGGCACGTTCTCGTGACTCACTACAGTATAGATGCTATGAGGAATGGATGTTAATGTGAAAAAAAGACTGAGGAAGAGGTTGTTTTCCCATGAGGAATTAAGCATTTAGCCTGCATAGATAGAGTAAGTCTTACAAGTGTAACTAGCAAAAACAGTGATCTGTTCTGGAAGACTACTGGAGTGTGAGGAAGGCAAAGCAGTGACTTGTGGGGTCATCTGCAGGACTTTACAACTCCTCTTCGTCCTGGAGCACATCCAGTCTGTGTCAGCCCAGCTTACCTGGGCTTGAATTGACTTCAGCACAGCTGAATCTCATGTATAGTTGTAGGCAGAAAAGGGGAAGTGTCTGTGGTACAGAAATGGAGTCAAGTGTCATCGTAGGGAGGAGTGTGTGGGAGGAGGAGGCTTGTAAGAACGAATAAAAGATAATAGTCTGTGGAATAAGAGCTGAAAAAAACCCAAGGCTAGGAATACAGCCTGGGTACAAGATAATTTGGATAACTACAACAGGTACTTGGTGAAAAGTGGAAGTGTGGCTCATACAGTAACTTTAAGATAAGGTGTTGCTCATGGAAGGAGAGATGCGGAAATTTGAGGTAGAATAAAAGGAGGAATTAGTTAAAAGTGAGGTTTTGGACTGTCAGTACAGGCTGTG